TGTCAAAGGTAAAAGCCACACATAAGTGAGTAGTTTTGGTAGGTGGATTAAACTGTTCCGTCTCTACCGCCCTCGATGAAGCAGCAATGCAGCAGCATTCTCAACGCCTAGTGGAAGCAGATACAAACATAGACCACAATTTGGTCTTACACCAACTCATTCCTAGGAAAGTTAGAGCCACACTTAAGCAGAGACACGTGTGCCATTGACGGTTGTGTTTGAGATCAGAAGATGAGGGTTTCACCAAGTCAATATCAAGCATGCAACATATTAATAACAATAGTAGCGACAGACCTGTCCGCCACCAGCTCGAAGGTATTTTTTAGGCTTCAAGGGTCTAGAATCCTTTGATCTCGACGAGGAGGAGGCCGATGGATGCTCGTTTTTCTTCTCCATAGCTTCAATATCAGACGCGAGTGCCTTCAAAGATAAAACAAAATTATTGACCAACATGACAAATAGAAATAAACGAAGAGCAGCATAACATACAAATGTGACAGGAGCCGTGGCAGTTTGGCCTGTCGACGCGTTGCTCGTAGGCACTTCCGAACTGTAAATTTTTGGCGCACTTTCAATTGTGGCAGACTGCCTTGTGGGCTGCTGTCGCAGCTGAAACTGTGTTTCAAGATAAGATTCCCTCTGCTGTAGTGTTACGATTTCAACAACTCAATACTACACCACAATTGATAACTAGAAGTGAAAAACCAACTTGATGAGGCAAAAATATGTTGGGCATAGGCATGGGAAATCCTGGAGGAGGCCGAAAACCTTGACTGGACATGAACATGGGTGGAGGCACAGGAGGAGGCATAATCGACACTCCCGGAACTTGCAATGTTGTGACTCGTGGCAAAAATGGCGCCATTACTGTAGGGTTCGGCATAGCTTGTATCATTGGGGCTGAAATGATTCGATTGAGAATGTATAAGCATGTTGAAAATAGTCAATAACTAATCGAAAATAAAAAATGAATCCAAAAGACAGCAAACAAAAAAAACCGAAATGAACTTGGGCACCTGCAGCAATCACTGGAATAGTGGGCGCCATCGAGATGACTGGTGCTGTGGAAACAACCACCGCACTCGTGCTCGTCTGAGCATCTCCAGCCTCTTTCTGTTCTTCAACTTCGGGAGCCTTCTTCTTCTTTTTAGCAGGTGACCCATTATCCGTCACAAGGGTCGATATCTCGCTTTCGAAACTAAATAATCGAACTGAGCAAAACAATACGCACGTTCACGATATTTACAAAAAATGTCTCTATAAGTTGCACCTCAATAACTGAGAACTAGAATTTTATTGGAAGACGAACTGCGTGAAACTGTACTTACTTTCTATTACATATGCATTCAACCAAGGTACATGTGATGAGAGGGTGGACAGTTTCACCTCATCCGCTGAACGGATGATGCTAGTATAGCCCCAAAATCTACCTCCCCACTACCATTCTGGGATTTTAGCCGGCTCGGAGAAACGCAAATTTACGAATTAATATGAATTTTTTCAAGGAACACTTGGTTATAGTCGATACTTCAAGGCAGCAAAAAAAGCACTGCTACTGCCGAAATGGTCTCTGTCGTAATTTTTCTCAGAAATAGTTTGTTTGCGAAAAGTAACCTTGAACCCAAGATGCCGTTGGATAATATACAAAATATCCACAAAATACGCTAGGTTTCCTCAGCATTTCAATTTGTACAACTGCAAAAAACCATTCTGTCTATTTGGACTTCCACCCTTCGACAGGATTCGATACGCCGGGATCAACTCACGAGAAATGTATATAAAGACTCGAAATTCCGGTCGACAAATAATATCACCAACCATTTTAAGTAGAAAAGCGATACTGCGTTTTCACCTCTAGTTGAAACAATACATTTTTTGAGAGGATAGGGGAGATGGTAGATTCAAGCCAACATCTTGCAATAACCAAAACCCCACCCCTATGCATGACCCTTCTCTGGGCTCCTGAAAAGCAAGACTTTGTAATAATTAAATGTAATGGAAAACAGTGGTACCCGCCTAGCCCGAATAAAAAATGGGAGAACTGCCCACTAAAACTGGGAAAAAATTACGCAGAAAATGTCGTAAAAGCAACCACGTGATGAAATACTTAGATTAGGTTTGGGACGAGCAAAGATTATGCACCTCGCTGCTCTTCGCGACCAGGGCGAGATGAGAAGAGGAATGCCCTGTAAAGCTCGAAAATGAGGAAATGCTCATGACATGAATATAAATTGATGAAAAAAGACTGTATAGACACATGGCGAACGTAAACTTACAGTGCTAATTCTGCGTCCAGATCCGCCATAAAGAAGGGCTGCGTTGTGGGTCTACTTCTGAATGAACACGACCGATCAGCGCCACGAAGCACAGTGAAAAGAATTGTGAGCACAAAGTGAGAATAATTCGCACTGTTCTGCGTCTTATCAAGTAGTAAGATGAGAAGTAATAGAGGATGAAGTATTTGTAAGCTAACAACAAAGGATCAAATCCTGAACTCTAAGATTGAATGTGTAATTAAAGACAATCATAGCCATCAAAAATCATCAAAATTATTCAAAAAGAATAGGAACGCCCACAAGCCGTTTATCAACGGATTTATCGTTGTGATTAGCGACAGAGAAATTAATGTACGCAAATATAGGGTCCATTACAATGTAAAACCATTCAATGATAACAAATGTGGACAGAAGCCATTTCGAAGTGGCGACATTCCAAAGACTGGTTCAATTACAGATTCTGCCTACTACCGTAATCCACGCCCACTTTAAATATTTGAAGGGTATCTTGCATTTGCCACAAGAAATCTTTCTTATCAAAAATATACTAACCATAAGTGTATCGTCCAATATGGAAGGCACGTGTTAGGATATTTCATGTCACTTATTGAAATTTCCATCTTTGTTGGGGATGAAGTCTCCAGAATGCGTAAACCAGATCATTTTCTCTCTTGACAACTTTGCGAAGTATTTTTTTCGAAATTACTTCCTTAGCTTCCTATTTTAAACTCGACCAAGAAACCGACTTCACACAAAGATAGAGTTAAGCTATTTGATCACTTGTGCAGAAGGTGCTTTGAATTTGACGACTCTGCTTTGAGAGAGGCCTTCTGACGTCCAACGACAAAATCAGCAGTGCGCCGCAGGTAGCCAACGGCGATGTCGTCCCACCTCTTCTGAAGCGCTAACTTCAGAGCACCCACCGAGCTGGAGAAGTCTTATGAGGTCTTGCTCTACAACATCCTCACATAGAGGAGTCCATCGGGTTAAGGGCCTGAGAGGAAGAAGGTCACAATTCCTTGCTCCAGTGGCCCGGGAAGTGAGCGCCCAGGATGGCTTTGGTCGATTTGAACGCGTATTAGGGAGCCCAGCTTCATTGAAGAGCAAACGATCATTGAGCAAAATGCTCGTAAATCCAGAACAACATACCGTACCTCATTAAAGTCTTTTGCAAGACCTTCGAGTTAATTTTAACATTTGTGGAAGATGAACTCCAATGGAGCTGCACTTTTGGATGTTACCCCGTCACAAACTACCACACCTTCGGGAGAAAGTCTGTTGTAAACTAGACGTTATCTCGGAGACTTGCTCTCACTTTTTGGCAACAACTGCCTCTGAC